ACGGAAAAACAATATTACTCTCCTTTACATCCCGCCCGCTTTGAAAGATTCTTTCAATTGAAACTTATTGTACTTAAGCCGAGGGGTTCTTACATTAGTTATATATTATCTGTTATAGGCAATGGACACACATTTCTAGCTGATCTTTTAAAAGTTCCGCCAGCTGTCTGTACACCGACGACTCGTACAATGTTATCGCTTCCTGGGTAAACGTCCGTGATCCGTCCAATTGCCCATTGAAGAGGGGGCAAATTATCCTCCTTCAATAGTACCAAAGATCCTGGTTGAAGGTTCTTCTCACCAGAGGTCCATTTAGTCCGGCGCTGTAATTCCACTAGGTACTCCCTTTGCCAACGTCGCCAAAAATCTTGGCGCACCTTCTGCAGATGTTGCCACCTTTTCAGCTTATTGTCAGGTACCTCTCGATACTCCTTCTCCACTGGTTGCGATAAACGTTCTCCTATTAGAAAATGGGATGGGGTTAAGACTGTTAGATCTCTTACATCACTGGATATAGCGGTTAATGGCCTTGAATTTAGGACCGCTTCTATGCCTATTAAGAGTGTATAGCACTCCTCGAAAGTCAACACTAATCCTTTGGTTACGACATAGAAATGCCTTTTCATACTCTTAATATTCGATTCCCAAAGACCGCCAAAGTTGGGGGCTCGCGGAGGGATGAAATGCCATTCGATTCTTTGGCTGGCAAGTTCCGTTCGTATTTCTTGTTCCCCCTTCCTCAGAAAGTCGTATATCTGCTCCAATTCTCTGGCAGCGCCCACGAAATTAGTAGCGTTGTCCGAATACAACTGTTGACAGTTTCCTCGCCTGCCAGTGAAACGACGTAACGCTGCCATAAAACACTCTGTTGTGAGATCTGTCACCAATTCCAGATGAACCGCCTTAGTATTGAAACATATAAATAAAGCAACATAAGCCTTGGATGTATGCATTCGACCACGACGTCTGCTTTCCCTAATCTTGATTGGACCAGCATAGTCCACTCCACTAATAGCGAAGGGGCGGACATATCCGGTAACTCTCGGTGCTGGTAGGCTTCCCATCTTAACTTGAGCGCTGATAGGCTTCCAACGAAAGCAACTTACGCACGATCGCGTAACCTTACGAGCTTCCCTTCTGCCGGACAAAATCCAATATTTTTGTCTTACTGATGCCAGTAGCTGCTCTGCGCCGCAATGATGTAAGCGTTTATGCTCTTCTTCTAATAGCAATCTTGTTACATGATGCTTAGAGGGTAATAGAACTGGATGCTTCGTCCCTTGAGTCAGAGCTGCTTGCTGCAATCTGCCTCCAACTCGAATCAAACCCTTGTCGTCTATGTACGGATCCAGTGCGATAGTTATGGTATTCTGCTTGATAGGCTTACCATTTTGCAAGCAATGCAGCTCATAAGGGAAAGCCTCCCCTTGTACTACTCTTGCGACTGCTGTTTCTGCTTGCTCGATTTCGTCTACCGTGAGAACTCCATGTTTGGCCCTTGATGGGCCCCGATTCAATAATCGGTAGCAATATGCTATGATTCGAAGCAGCCGGCTAAAGGAGGACACTGAAGGCAATATTCCTGACGGTGGGTTTGTTACTACAAGGCCAGTGACCGCTCTCCTTTCAGGTAACTCCTTAACACTTATGAGTTGCTCTGGCCAGGAACCTTCTTCTAATAGCCATCCTGGGCCATGCCACCATAACTTGTTATTTTGCAATTCGTCAATAGTGGCTCCCTTTGACAAAATATCTGCTGGATTCTGGGCTGAAGGTACGTGCTTCCAAGAGCCCTGTAAACCGAGGGTTTGTATTTGTGATACTCGATTTGCAACAAATGTTTTTAGAGAGCTAGGACAGGTATGTATCCATCCTAACACGATCGTGGAATCGCTCCATAATTGAACGTTGTTAATTCTCTCGCCCAGAGCATCTTGTACAGTTTTGTAGAGCTTTGCCAATAGTAGCGCCGCACATAATTCTAACTTAGCTATAGTCAAAACCCTTAAGGGGGCCACTCTTGATTTGGCACATAGTAACTGCGACTGGAGGTTACCCGCTGAATCTCGACTAATCGCATATAGGCAGGCTCCATATGCTCGCTCTGATGCGTCACTAAATCCTTGAATGTCTATTCTGCTAGTAGAGCCCCTTTGTTTTATCGGGCGATGAATTCTTAAGTTGCCAATCTGATTCCACGATGATTGATACGTTTGCCACTTGGTATGAAGCTCTTGAGGTAGACTTTCATCCCAATTCAATTCCAATGTCCATAGCTGTTGCATAATTATCTTCGCTATTATTATGATAGGTCCAAGCAAACCCAAGGGATCATATACCTGAGCAATGGCTGACAAGATGCTACGTTTTGTTATCGGACCAGCCTTGACCTTTTTCACATTATATTGCAAAAGATCTTCCTTATGATTCCATAAAACTCCTAGCGCCTTCAACGGGTCTTCTTTATTGATTACCAACAGTTCTTCGGTTTTTCTCTCCTCTTTCAAATGATCCAAGATT